GTCCCACGGACTACTTGTGTAGGTCAGGTGAGGCTTGATGAAGCAGACTGTACTCTTTTGCCAGCCACAAACCTACTGCATTTAAACTAAATGAACGCATGAGCTAGAATTGTTAATGGCACAAATGTAGCCTTTCAGAAAAACAACAGGGAGGTGCTTATGGTGCTCCAAGACACTCAGGCTGTTGGTGGCTGTGGGTGCTCCTTTGGTCACACAGATGAGCAGTTGTAAACATTTACCCTTCTGCTAAACATTACATGGATTAAAAAAGTCATCTGAGGATGCAGGCAAATGCTGATGTAGCCATGCAGAGCACGTAGAAGTCAGTGATCAGAAGTCAGGGCCAGCTGGCTTCAATGTTTACTGTCCCCAAACATGCATAATTGCTAGCTACAAATACACTTTGAAGAGCAGAGGTCCATGGCCGTGAGGAGCTGTGCTACCAGGTACCCCTTCCTAGTTACTGACAGCTGATGACAAAAGTGCCAAAACATCTCCTGAGGTGTGTTATGGCCTGGCTTGGGGCTTTAGTTTTTTGATCATACAGCTTGGGCATTTATAACAACATGCTAAATTAAGCTAAATCCCTCTTCTACGAAAAGCAGAGCAGAAGAGGTAATTAACATGCAACTTGGTTCCCCCTCGCCCTGAACTTGGCAGCAGTTTAGAAACAATCCCACACTCAGAGGCTTTCTAACAGCCTTGGTTTACTCACATCAGGAGAAGAGGCCTGGGCAGTGGAGCCCACTGTGCAGCTGCAGGGCCAGCTGAAGTGAAAGACAACCGGAGACTCAGTGCTGTAAAGAATTACATACAAGGGTTGAAGCTAATTCTGGATTCTGTACATTACTCTGAGGTGAACAAAAACATGATCCAGTAGAGCGATACAACTGTGGCACAAACACAGATATTTTTGCTGTCAACATGGATTGATTTTGAAACTCTTCCAAAATCTGCATCTCTTTGCTTCATTTATCAGCGTTCTAATGACATGGTGGCTTGAAGAACAGATTCATTGTCCTACCAGCGAGGTCAGCAGTGGTTCTGCAAACCAACAGGTGGTCCATCACAGGGCCTGCTTCTGGAGAGAGGAACCTGCAAAATGTGCCTACACTGCTACTTTGTTTTACACCTTAGTTCATTTCTAAACGTGTGATAGTACTCATACTGTTTTATTCCAAGTGCTTCTGTTCCAAGCTGGTGAGCTCCTTTCATCAGCAAATGCTCAGCAAACCTTGCAGTCAGCCCCAGCCATGCCCTGCTGCATACAATGCCTGCCCTAAGCATCACTGTACAGAAACATTTCCTCGAGCTGTTAAAAAACTGTCCTGTTATTTTGAGCACTCTGAAAGAAAAGGAGTGGCACTGCCTCGAAGCAGAAGAATGTCAGCCTTGGTTCAGGGAAGACCTGGGTTTTGTTTGCAGAGAAGTCACAGACACCTCACTCCAGACAATCTGCAACATCCATGTTATAAAACACACATCTGGTATAGATGTGAAACCCTTTGTATCAGCTGGCCCAAGGCTGTCTTCATGTCCTGGCCATGAAGATGGTATATGTATTGCCAGAAATCATCTTTGCTTACCCTGGCACCAAACTCTAGCTAAGAGGATGTAGTCATGGCAGGGAAGCCAGGAGGGTGGTGACTCTGGGGCAGGACTCAGTGTTATGTTGAAGAACTTACCTGAAGTATGTCTTGAAGACCTACAAGGTTGCAGTTCATTAATTTCTATTCTTACAACAGAACTGAAAGATCTTTCTGCCCCTGGCCTTCAAGTCAGCAGGGAATGAATATGTATGGAAGGTAAGACATACTCACTCTGGTGGTGGTTCATGTAAGAATCTTCCCTGCATTTATTTTCAAAAATATATTTGTCATTTCTCTGTTATCCCACTTGACAGAGCCCATATGCTCATTTATACTGCAGATGGAGATTAATGTTAGTAACTTGTAAATCTAATGGGACTTTAATAATTTGCATAATTTGAGAGGTAAACATATCCATTTCAAACAATAATAGAAGGTATAGATGATGAAGGGTATTGTCAATTATCC